TTTAGAACAGGAGTCCATAATCAAATTTGCAATTGAGGTAGCATCAATTTCTTTTAAGGTTGCAAATCCAAGGAATTCTTCTTTGATGACAGCTACGGTGCTACTTGTGTCTACAAAACGTACTCCAATTGACATCTGTTCTTTTCCAGATATGTCAGCACTTTCATCAGCAATGACTGAAAAACCATTTGACCTATTAACTAAGTTAACCAGATCCTCTCTTAAAGTTTCCTTGCACAAGGCAATCAATTCATTTTCAACTCGAACTGATGTGTAGCGTGCGTTAAATGGCGCATTCTCCAGATGGTTCTTTAGGACTACATCTCCTGCTTCAATGCGAAATTGGTAAAGACTTTGAACATTTCCATTTGTACTTTTTTTCCCACGCAAAGCTATGTCATGAGTGCCACAAAATATGATAGTGGACAGAATTGGAAATAACTTTCTTCGATTTTCTTCAACGTGACGCTTCACAGCGCTATCTATTTGGCAAACAATACTTGTTTCCAGTTTCTTTCTGATCTCCAGAAAGTGATTTGCATCCACACGGGCATTTTTATGCCATGATGTTGAGATATGGTTGCGTGCACTTTCATGCAAATCTTTATATTTGGTGAAAGGTGTCGTTATGAAAGCGCCTTGTGTCCCACGATGTACTGGCTGAGGAAAAACTGTGCAATATTTGCAAATTGCACCTTTTAGTTGTGGAGAGTAGCTAAGCCATGGTGAATATTGACTTAACCACACCCATCGGAAACAGCGTGGTCCACTAGAATCCTTTTTAAAGTCATAATTTTCTGGCGGTGTGTAGGTATGAATTAGCAGATTGTATTTCAGATCATCTGTTAGCTTTTTGGATGAATTCAAATACAATCCGATATCATTTACGGGAGCATCAAGATGGCTACATTCTGTTGGCACTGTAACTGGATCTGCAGAACTGCTTGTGCTTGGTTTTGCCTCTTGTTCACCATGTCCAGATTCTTCTCTTCCTTCCTTTTCAGATTCAAGATCATCCAATTTTCTTTTGGCAAAAAATTTGCGGATGTCCATTTCTAAAAAGAAATGGGGATCACTAAATACTCTGCTCTATTCAATAAACATGTTGTACATTACAACCAAGCTGTCCTTGCATAATACATAGCTTTAAAGGGACACTACAGTCACCTGAACAACTTTTGCTTAATGAAGCAGTTTTGGTGTATAGAACATGCCCCTGCAGCCTCACTGCTCAATCCTCTGCCATTTAGGAGTTAAATCCCTTTGTTTATGAACCCCAGTCACACCTCCCTGCATGTGACTTACACGGCCTTCCATAAACACTTCCTGTAAAGAGAGCCCTATTAAGTTCTGTTTAATTAAGATTTTCTTATCCCCTGCTGTGTTAATAGCTTGCAAGACCCTGCAAGAGCCTCCTGTATGTGATTAAAGTTCAATTTAGAGATTGAGATACAATTATTTAAGGTAAATTACATCTGTTTGAAAGTGAAACCAGTTTTTTTTCATGCAGGCTCTGTCAATCATAGCCAGGGGAGGTGTGGCTAGGGCTGCATAAACAGAAACAAAGTGATTTAACTCCTAAATAGCAGAGAATTGAGCAGTGAAATTGTAGGGGAATGATCTATACACTAAAACTGCTTTATTTAGCTAAATTAATTTAGGTGACTATGGTGTTCCTTTAATGGAAAGTTGAAATTTTAAACTTTAAATAATTCACCTACAATGCACTATTTATTGAATACAGCCCCATGTGTATGCAGAGTTTGTGTGTGTGTGTGTGTACACAATATATATATATATATATATATAAAAGCCAAACTCTGGCACTCAACCCCCCCAAAAATTAAGAAAGTAACATTGCCCGGGTGCATCCAGGCCAATAGAGAAACGTAGTCAATCAGGAGCACTCACTTGGATTTCGTGTGTATAAAGTGTTAATCAACCTACATCAACGTTTTGACCCTTCAGGGTCTTATATCAAGATCTTGTATAAAATGTTAATCAACCTACATCAACGTTTCGACCCTTCAGGGGGTGGGAGGGTCTGGGAGGAAGGGCATGCTGATGATTGGCTGGAATGTGTCTGCTGACTGTGAGGTACAGGGTCAAAGTTTACTCTGTGATGAGTCCACGGCGAACCGTTCGCGAACCGTTCGGGACATCACTAATACACAGCTGATATCTGGGTATAAAGCTGGTTCCTCTCACCTTAATGGTTGCAGGCTGTTGCGGCTGGCTAGCTGTCTGCTACGATTGGCTGGCTGGTTTTCAGCTGTGGCTGGCTGGCTGGCTTTCTGCTGTGGCTGGCTTTCTGCGGCTGGCTTTCAGCTGTGGCTGGCTCAGGCTGGCAGGTCAATGTGGCTGGCTGACTGGCTAAATACATATACATACAAATTAGAGACTACATACAATGGAGACAAATGGGTCCTGGAGGGTATATGTTGGAAAGAGTCCACTCCAGCCCCATTTGAGACTATATACAATAATAATATATATATATATATATATATATATATATATATATATATACACACATACATATATATATATACACACATACATACATACATACATACATACATACATACACACATACACACACACACACACACAGTACACAGCCCAAGATGGTTCAGCTGTGGCTGGCTCAGGCTGGCAGGTCAATGTGGCTGGCTGACTGGCTAAATACATATACATACAAATTAGAGACTACATACAATGGAGACAAATGGGTCCTGGAGGGTATATGTTAGAAAGAGTCCCCTCCAGCCCCATCAGAGACTATACATACATACATATATCTGATGATACCCAGTCCAAGTTCTCAGGCTGGCTAGGTGGCTAGTTGGCAGGCTGGCTAGATGGCTTGGCAGGCTGGCTAGGTGGCTAGTTGGCAGGCTGGCTAGATGGCTTGGCAGGTTGGCTAGGTGGCAGGCTGGCTAGTTGTCAGGCTGGCTAGTTGGCAGGCTGGCTAGGTGGCAGGCTGGCTAGGTGGCAGGCTGGCTAGATGGCTTGGCAGGCTGGCTAGTTGGCAGGCTGGCTAGTTGGCAGGGTGGCTAGGTGACAGGCTGGATAGATGGCTTGGCAGGCTGGCTAGTTGGCAGGCTGGCTAGGTGGCTAATTGGCACTTGGCAGGCTGGCTTGGCTAGGTGGCTTGGCACTTTGGCAGGCTGGCTTGGTGGCTTGGCAGGCCAGAAGCCTGACATCTATAATGTGGCACTGGCACAGTGGGAGACTAGGGGCCAGGGGCAGGGCCTACTAGGATAGGATAGATCATGGCATTGACTAGTACTACTGACCTGAATGCAGCAAGGGAAGGCTGGCTGGAACTGGAAGTGAGGACTCAGGAAGGACTGCTGTCTACCACACCAGGCACAGGCAGGCTGTCTTCAACATCAAGGCACTGTCTGTCAGTCTGTGTCCATCACCCACACAGACAGATCCTTCCGCGGACCGCGCTTTGGATGAAATCCCGGCCCGCGCAGGTCCTTTACTGGCTCCTCCTTCATTTTTACTTCGATGCCCCTGAATGGCTGAAACAGGGAGCATCACAGCATCTACTCACACGGGCGGCAGTCAGAGCCCGAGGATGCCTCGTGCCGCGATTATTTCTGCTCGGGCTCTGACTGAGTCACTGAAACTCTAACAAATTCAGGTGGGGGCAAGTGCCCCCCCCTGAGGATGTTACAGACTGCAGTGCAGAGCCCGAGCTGAGGAGGACTGCACGCAATTGTACTCAGGGGCCGGGGCGGACTCAAATTAAAGCGTGGGTAAATTTCACATGCCAAATCCGGGGGGGGCAACTGCGGACGCCCATGGGGTTGAGGGATGTTGGGCTCTCCATATATCCAGGAGGTTGTGTGTGTTCAAGAAATGGGAGAAGAGAGAGTCGTTTAGGGAGGTGCGAGGTTTGCCCTGTGACTTGGTAGTGCGGTCTATCGTGGGATGATGAGTGGCGTTGCAGTCCCCACCTATAATGGTAAATGTTGTATTGTGTGCAGCTAGGTGGTCCGAGAATGTTGGCCAGAACGATGGTTCTGGGGTTGTGGGGGCGTATAGGGAGGAGATGGAATAGGTTGTGGTGCCTATCGTGCCCGTGATAGTAAGGTATCTTCCCTGCTTATCCGGGAAAGCTTGCACGTCTGTCAGCGGGCAGGATGATTTAAGTACAATGGCCACTCCTTTGGTTTTTGCGTCCGGTGAGTTGGCAAAGAAGGCGCTGTTGTAGTGTTTATTCTTGAGTGGGAAATGTTTGTGGGAGTGAAATGAGTTTCTTAGACCATGAGAATGTCTGCTTTTTGACTGTGGGCCCAGCGCAGTAAGGAGTGGCATTTGGTGGGACTATGGAGGCCCTTTGCATTGATGGAGATGCAGTGAAGTTGAAGTGGCATGGTCCGGGGTAGCTTAATCGTGTTCTGAGGCTTGTGATGGGGGTGTAGGGAGGGTCCGAGGAAGGGGGGGGGGGGAAGGCCGCCAGGGCCCCGGACCGTCCCTTGCCCCGCCCCGGGCGTCCCACCCTCCGCAGCCCTAGTCGCAGGCCCGGAACCACCTGTCGTGTGCCGCCCGGGGCGTCGCGACCCCCCTTCAGGGCCAGGACCGTCGCGGCCCTCTGCCCCCCGACCAGGAGCTCCCTCTCACGCCCCATCCCCCGCCCTGTCCTTAGGTTGTCCCAGTGTCCGGGGCATGGCCCCATGTATTTCTCAAGATGTTCCCTCTCACTGAGTCCGAGGCCGTCGCGGCCCACCGCCCCCCATTCCACGGAGGGGGGAGGGACACCAGGGCCCCGGTCCTCCTAGCCCAGCCAACCCCCCAGTCCCAAGCATCAAACCCAGTGTCCCCATCTTGTCCTACGGTAGTCTCTAAAGCGATGGAGTTCGTGCTGTTCGTCGTCTGCGGATCCGCTGGGCTGAAGCCGGCTGGGAAGTCCGTTGGCCAGCCAGGACACTCATTCGTTGATGCGGGCACAGTCCGGAGGGACCCGTCGCGCCCCCCGGTCCGTTTCAAGTTCCCATAGGGAAGTCCCTGGTCCGTGGGTGACCACAGGGGGGCCGCCTTCGCCGATGGCATCTTCGAACGTGGTGGGGTGCTGCTGCAGCCCTGGGGCCCTGCCACTCCCGGTAGTCGTCAGGCTCCACTGGCAGGTACACAGATGTAGTTAAAGGGTAGGCGGGACGCGAGTGGGTGGCCCGCCAGTCCCGCTGGGGTCTGCAGCTCGTCCGTCGGTCGGCTCCTCCCGCGGACTCCGGGCCTTGTGCGTTAGTTGGTGCCTTCTTCGGTGCTATGAGCGTTGGGCTGTGCTGCGGGTTACAGTGGCTATCGAGTCCAGAGTGGATCATCGCGTCAGTATGCTGCAGGAGAGGCCGGGGCAAGGTGTTCCCACGGGTCCCCAGTTTAAGCTTGGGGTTGTGCAGGGCGCAGTCTTCCGCTGCGCTCCCTCTGAGGTTGCGGATCCCATGTGTGGTCTTGGGACTCAGGACGCAGGTGATGTGCGCTTAGCTCTCGACTTAGGTCATGGAGGCCGATTTGGGCGGCAATATCCTGCACCTCAGAAGGTTTATGTAACGTGAATGTGCGGTTGTCGTGTCTGATTAGCTTGAAGGGATGGCCCCAGGAGTACCGGATCCTCCGAGCTTGTAAGGCCTGGGTCAGCGGTTTCAGCTCCCTGCGTTTGCGCAGGGTAGTGGGTGCCAGGTCATGGAACAGTTGGACCGTGAGGCCTTCTACTTGTAGTGGGGTCTCCCTCGTTGCTTGCATGATTGCTTCCTTGATATGGAAGTAGTGGCAGCGGATAATGATATCCCGAGGCTGGGTGGGGTTCACAGAGGGAGGACGGAGGGCCCTAGGCGCCATGTCAAGGAGGAGATCTGACGGTGTGGCATCAGGTAGTAAGTGGCTGAAGGCTTCGTGGAGTATGGCAGTGAGTGCCTCCGTTGTGGAAGATTCCGGTAGTCCCCTGATGCGGATATTATTCCGCCTAGACCTGTTGTTTAGATCCTCCTGTGCCTCTTCCAGGTTTGCTATTTGCTCCCGTAGCTCTCTTATGGAGGCCTCGTGGGCAGAGGTGGTAGTGGTTACCTCAGCCATTTTGTTTTCCAGCCCATGTGTGCACTGGGATAGGGCTGTCAGTCCTTCTTTGAGAGGGGCTAGATGTTTTGTGAGTCCCTCAGCTACTAAGGTGACACAAGCAAAGTGTTAGATTGCGCAAAGAAACAAACATAAATCATATTCAAAAATATTCAAAACTACAGACAAGCTCACTGACACACACATGCTCACTACAGATATGCTCACCGACACACACACGCTCACTTACAGACAAGTTAAATGGCACATTTACACTAGCTCACTCCATACAAGCTTACTGACACACAGATGCTCACCACAAACTCACTGACACACACACACACACACACGTACACTACAGACAAGCTCATTGTTACACACACATGCTCACTACAGACAAGCTCACTGACACACACATGCTCACTACAGAGAAGTTCACTGGCACATTTACACATGCTCACTCCAGACAAGCTCACTGACACATACATGCGCTCTACAAACTTATTGACACATACACATGCTCATTTACAGACAAGCTCTCTGTCACACACACATGCTCACTTACAGAAAAGCTCATTGACACACTTGCTCATAACACACTCACTGACACACACAAGCTCACTACAAACAGACACACACATTCCCTACAAACATGCTCATTTAAAAAAGCTCACTGACACACTTGCTCAATAAGACACACTCACTGACACACACTCTCACTACAGACAAGCTAACTGACACACATATGCTTCCTACAAACTCACTGACACACACGCATGCTCACTTACAGACAAGCTCACTGACACAAACACACATACATGCTCACTCACAAGCGCACACACACACACACACACACTCACAATCACTGTCATGGGTTGAAACCTACCTGTCACAGGAAGCTGTGGGAGACTGGAAGCACTGGGTGATGAAGTCTCCATTTTCTGACCGCTTCTTTTCCACGGAGGTCAGCAGCTTGAGTGTGGGGGCGGGGATTGTGTGAGTGGCATGGCTTGTGTGCAGGGAGTGGGGGCAGAGCATAGAGGCACTGAATTGCTGAGGATCCAGAAGAGAGCCTCACAGTGCTCCCTCTGGCCACCTGGCTGCCTAAATGCTGCCTCACCAGCACCCAGCAACTCCCTCCTTTTTTCCCCTTGGACTGACACAAGCTGTCACATTCCGAGGGAAAATTATTTAAATTACACATTAGGGCTTCCTGCCAGGGGCAAGTTGAAAAAGTGCCCCCCCCCCCCCTTAACCCCTCCTGCAGACTCCCATGGTCTCCACTCATTTAGGACAAGGATAATGGCCAACAATTACATGTTCCCAATGTCATAGTTGAATTGTGCAGCAGACAACTTTTGGAGAAAAAGTTACATGGATGAAGAGGGGTATCTTGTGTCTCCCTTTGGAATACAACAGCACCTATTCCCGTTTCTAATGCCTCAACCTCCAAAACAAAGGGTTTAGCTGGGTCAAGGTAAGTGAGAATAGGAACAGTGGCAAAAAAGGATTTCAGGTGACCAGATCTGAGTATTGTCTCTTTTACAAGTAAGGCCTGTGATGAGAGAAATAACTGAAGAGAAACCTATGCAAGTCCCCAAGAAAGGTATACGACCACATGGACCTTGTGGAGGACAGGGACACAAAGCTTACAAATCAATCATAACAGTAATTAAATGTCCAATTGCCTTAATTATATTCCCACAATTTGCCTTTTCTAACATTAAGTATAATACTGTAAACAGAAATGGGTATGTAGGTCGCGCTAAAGGGACAAGGAAGTAAAATAAATGAAATAAATAAAAGTGGTAAAAAAGTCCCAAAGTTTGGGACTTTTTTTACCACTTTTATTTATTTCATTTATTTTACTTCCTTGTCCCTTTAGCGCGACCTACATACCCATTTCTGTTTATCCTATTCCATGTGAGGTTTTTTGAGGGACCTCATTCCTATAGGTTGCTGCTTTTACATTTTATTTTAGTTTCTTTTAGATTATTTAGCGCTGAACCATTATCTTTAAGTATAATACTGTGCCTGCTATTTCCATATGTGATAATCGTTTCTCTATTTATAACTGTTTGTAGCCCTTGAGGGGGCTGGACATACTATATACACTTTGTTATCTATTTAAGAATTACAGACAGACACTCTCTTAGGAACCTCCTTTTATATATAATTAAACTAGGGTTCTTCATTATGTACTGTCTTTGCGCCCCTCTGTTTATCCATCATTACTATTTATAGTTACTAGTACATCTATTAATTGTATTGAGGAATTTAAATACAAGACTTCGATAATTGCTTATTACATGCAAACCACTTAGCGACCTAAGCCTTGCTGTAGACATCCCAGTTTAACCTGTGACTCCCCATTCTTTTTAACTGCATTAATTAGTCTAGATCTTAACTATTTAATTCACCTCACGTTTTTGTTGGGGCACTTGATTCTCTGTTACTAATAAAGTTATTATTTGCTATCAGGGCCGCCATCAGGGGGTGACAACCATGACCGGCCGCCCGAGACCCACATGTGGCGGCAGAACTGTCGCCGGTGCAGTTGCACTGGGGCCCGCAAGCTGTTGGGGCCTATCGGGTGGCCCACGCACTTAAGGCCACCCGATGGGCCCTATATCTTCAGGGGCCCGGACAGCGCTGCCGCCATGCAATAGCGCGACCGGGCCCCTATAAAAAAATCACAGCCGCAAAATACTGCTGGGTGGAAGTGGCCATCACTTCCTCCCTGCTCCCTCCCCTCCGCGCCGCGCGGGAGGGAAGAAAGCCAGGCCGCGGGAGCCACGCCAACTCCCATCAGCCACAGCCTTCCACCTGCAAAATTAGCTGTATTTGTGTATTAGTATGTATGTGTGTATGTCAGTATGTATGTATGTGTATGTATGTCAGTACGTGTGTCATTATGTATGTATGTATGTTTGTCAGTGTGTGTGTGTATGTCAGTATGTATGTATGTGTATGTCTGTGTCAGTATGTATGTATGTATATAATTATGAATGTATATCTGTATGTCTGTATGTATGTCAGTATGTCTGTATATATGCATGTATGCCAGTATGAATGTATGTCTGTGTATGTATGTGTGTATGGATGTCAGTGTCTGTATGTATGAATGTTTGTCTGTCAGTATGAATGTGTGTATGTATGTCAGTGTATGTATGTGTATGTCCTCATGCATGTATACCTGTATGTATGTTAGTATGTGTCTGTCACTATGTATGCCTGTCTCAGTATGTTTGTCTGTTAGTATGTATCTGTGTGTGTGTGTGTGTGTGTGTGTGTGTGTGTGTGTGTGTGTGTGTGTATCTGTGTCTTTTTGTATCAGTGTTTTTTTTTGTGTCTGTCTGTGTATTCCTGTGGGCGGGATTTGGAGGTGGACCCTGTGGGCGGGATTTGGAGGCGGGCCCCAGGGGGCCCAGACCCTGGGGTGAGTAAAGGGCCCCAAAATTTCTGGTGGCGGCCCTGTTTGCTATTACCTTAGAATGTTCTAACATTGGAGGTAATCTTAGTGAGATTATGATTAGAGATGTCGTGAACCGTCAGCTGACACATCCCGACCAATCTCCAGCAGACCCTCCCTCCCAGACACTCCTACTTCCTGGACAGCTTGCCACATGGATGCTGTCCAGGAAGTAGGAGGGTCTGGGAGGGAGGGTCTGCTGGAGATTGGCCGGGATGTGTCAGCTGACCGGAGTTCGTGGCGAACAGCTCGTGGCGAACCGTTCGCGAGAAGTTCACGGACGGTTCGTAACATCTCTAATTATGATCCTTTTTTAGGCTCTGACCCTCATTTGTTTGGTTTATTTCTGCTATTTGCTCTAGGTTATGCCCTATTTTACCTCCTCAACCCATTTTTTAGCATCAGAGTAGGTTTTTGCTATATCTGTAGCTATTCTATCTTTATTTTAATGAAGAGATTTTTTTCCTTTTTGGTTATTTTAACCTAAATTTTAAATTCACTTCAAGTCCACTTTAAATTCTTACTTCAGTGTATAATAACCCTGATAAGCTTTTCTATCACTCTTTAAATCATAAGTGTTCTGTTTATACTTTTCTTTTCTGTACTTGTACATTTTGCTGTCCAGAAACTTAAACTTTTGCAAAAACTGGCAGAATTTACTATGAAGAAAACAGTCACTTATATAGAACACTTTAATGAATACCAACTAAATAATCACGTAATTAAACAGTAAGTTTTCACAATACTTTAATAAATTTCCCTCTTTGTTAAATCACATACAGATACATGCTTGATACCAAG